TAAATACAGTGCACGGAGCTTGAATTTCCTTGGCTTACGACTGGATCCCTTTGTTTGAGTGATCGAATGACACGAATAATTTAGAAAAATGTGGATATACGCGTTTTCATGTGTGATTTAGAATCATATCACAGACATAAAACAGGCATCAAGAATGGATTTTGAACTTTTTGGATTTTTATTGAAAAGTCCGTCTTGCTAAAGTTTCGCTTTATGTCGCTTCTCATATTACTATTTTAAATTACGCATTATTTCCAAATCAATTTTTTAAACTATTACGATGCTTATCATTCGATAAAATATTCTATACAGCAGTGGTGCCCAACTCAGAAGTGGCCAAGGGCCACATTGAAATAATAGAGCATTATGCGGGCCACAAAGGAAAAAGGTACAAGAAATGTTGTACATGTACTGTGTAATTCCTGGGATGGTTGAAACTATTTTTTTTCTACACAAAAATTCAAAAAGGATTTCAGGATTTTCATTATCTGGCTTTTTCATCTACAAACTGTTTTGCTGCATTTTTTTTTACTGACAAACTTCAACTTGTATCTTCCTTACTTCATGATGACTGAATTTTTGTTCATGGAATCATAATATTCAATCTGCATAACTTTTCAAAATGATGCAACTGAAGTCCAAAACGAATAAGCCACTGGCAACTGAAAATTTGGAGTGATTTTAAATGTTGAGACTACTTTTGGCTGAAAGAAAAATAAAAGCCTGTGTTTTGGAAATTAAAGAACTAATGTGAGGAAATATGGTCTCTAATGATTTCACACAATTGTTATAACATTTCTTCAAAATTAAAAAAATTGATCTATGTACAAAGAAGCAATAATGATTCAACCTCCCAAAACATCAAATGTTCAAGGCCTTTTTGGGATGGTCAAAGCCAGGATATGTGTCTGGCGTGAAGTTAAGTGATGTGGGGAATTTTTCATGAAGTTTTTATTAATCAATGAGCCACTTGAATTCACATTTGGATCTAGAATAAATCCAGACTGACAATTTGAGACAGACATTTTTGGAGACAGGGACAATTTGAGACAGAAACTTCTGAAGGCAGGGATTATTTGAAGTAGATACATTTTGAGGCGGGGATAATATGAGACATTTTGAGATAGAAGCATTTTCAAAAAGAAAGTGGGGGGATCTGAGGACAACCAGGAAGTGTGCAATTGAAAACCCCATAAAAATCACCAAGAATCTGAAGAAACCCAGAAAGTGTGTTTTATAAAAATATATATGCAGAGTTGCTTTGGGCAAGGCTCAAATTGTCCTTGTCTCTAAATGTCCATGTCTCAAAGTGTCCCTGTCACTGAATTGCTTAGGCTCAAATTGGACCTCTGTCTTGAATTGGCCCTCTGTCTCAAATTGTCCCTGTCTCATATTTTTCCTTGTCTCAAATTGACCCTGTCTCAAATTTTCAATCTCAATTGGCCCAGTGTTGAATTGTCTTTCTCAATTTGTTCATGTCACATATGTATTTTTACATGATTCTTTGTTAATATATTTTTTTCAGGCTATTAAGAAAATTAAGCTACTGTACATCCTTCCCCTATCAAGAGATGCAAATAAATTAAAAAAAAAACACAACAGAAAATGCTGGGGTAATATTTAAATTCCAAGATTGCAAAATGCTGCCCTTTCATTTGAAAAACAGAACCACTGACATCACAAGTTAATCCATACTATTCTTTTGGTCTTTCTTGTTACAAGGAATTGTTACAATATTTGTGAAGCCCTAATATAATTCCTAATCAAAATTGCAGACTGAAGACTTCTTGAAAAATTTGCAATATTTACTTTTTATGGTCTTAAATTTTCGGTGGTGAACTTTCATGCTGTCTTGGCGGGCCAGATTTTAAGCCTCTGCGGGACAGATCTGGCCCGTGGGCCGTATCTTGGGCACCCCTGCTATACAGTATTATAAAACTCAAATGAACTAACGCTGTTTTAAGTGGTCCTGAAATATAGCCAAAGCAAGTGTGAATTAGGTTTGCTAATATGACTTGTTTGCCAAATTAAATGCTTAGCCTCATCGTTGGAAGTACAGTACAAGATATGCTTAGAAGAACAAATCCTTGTGTTGGTTCTTAGAATGTAATTAATGTTCGGCTGTTTGTGTTTTGGTCCCGGAGAATCAGGTTAGATAAATTGATTCTCTGTGGAGATGAAATTGCTGCGCGACGCTCGTGTGACCTATAATTAGTAGGCAAAAGTGGAATAATTAAACTCCGTGAAAAAAAACACGGGCTCTATAGATGCGCAGGTGGCACGAAATGGAATAGAAGTGTCTAATATCGCTGTTCGGACACAGCGAAAGTTGAAACCAGTCTGCAGAAAAAAATAGGCAATTTTTGAATAATACAAAGCTTCCGTAGTCGGTATGATAATTGTGACAATCTTCGCGATCTTACTCGGCGGATGGAGTACAGTTCTCCGGCTCCTGTTTTTTTTTTTTTCTCGTGGAAAAGGGGTGGTAATTACCGGTTCGAATGTAAAATTATGCGCATTCAGTAATGCGAGCATGCCGGGTCATTTCTCTTGCGGGAAGTAATAATGACCTAGAGCCTGACCACCTGTGAACGAGCAGCGTGAAGGGACCTCCGCAGATTTCTTTTACTTCTACGTACTGTACACGATTTGTTCAAATGAGCAGAACAATTTCCTCTGGTTCTTTGCCCCATTGTGGTTGCCATTTTTTCCTTTATTTTCCCCTTCCTATTTTTTTGCGGAAATGTTTCCGTTGGACAACGGTTAGCTTCCCAAGAGGCACAAGGAGCCCCATTTGAGCCGACTCGAAACTAATCAAGACGAGTTGTTCGAAAAAAGAAGTAGGGTTAAACCTTGATGCTTTTTGACCCCTGACGGTGATTCGCTGAAACGCCGAAATTGGCGTAGGAAAACGGGACACGGTTACATTTCTGATTGCTGTGCCATTTTAGTGCTTGTAATAAGTTCAGGCGTCTTACTTCCTTTGTTTAAGACTGTGTTCCCATTCGGCTGGTACTGACTGCAAATACTGTATGTGTTTGTGCACTTCTCGTGTTGGCCCAAAGTACCGCACTGTTGCTGCGGTTTAATTTCTGTCGAACATGCTCGTTATTAGTACGGACGACCAACGTGTCTCCAGACCATGAGAAATCCAAAATTGGTCTGCCAAAAAGTACGTGGTTTGAGCAAACTTGAGGCTTGTGAAATTCGGAGGAAATACTGCATAATCAATTATTGGTTCAGTTGATTTGATTGTATATACAGTATGTGTTTTCACAACGGAAATCTGATCTTGTTTTATAAGGGGCAATATATCGTGCTTCATTTTTTTCTGTTGCAGTTTCAGAAAATCACGTATATGGCTAATTTATTTGATTTTCCTTATTCCAGTGGGAAAATCGGAGTACAATGTATAAGAAACGCCGTGGAAAAATTCGAATCGCAGACCGCCTTTTTGCTTTGTAGCGGTAATTTGGAATCATGCAATTAGGGCTTATCGGAAACAAGCTGTTCTTTTCTACTTCGTGGTATTTCGAAATTATTCGTGCTTTGTCGGCAGGATTCATGCGGAATTTTTGTGTCTGTTCAGGAGCACGAAAATCGTGCGAGTGCCGAGAAAGAACCGAAAATTATCGAGGATTGCTAGAAATGCGCTGTTGTTTCCCCGCCTGCTTATAGTTGATCCATACTCGGGATACTTTTCGGAAACAGGTTTTTGACTTTTACTTGAAATAACACAGTACATTTCGTAGGAGGTGACACTATTTTACTGAAAACGGTGTTCACGGTTCGTTGTGCCTTCAGGATTATGTTCTGTATACAGCGCAGTAGATTTTAATTTTTTGTACGCGAAAATTTAAGAAAAAGGTTTCCTCACGCGAATCAAAGACACATTTTTACTCCTTTTACCCCGCAATCAGAAGTCTGTGGACAAATGCAGCTTACTAGTCTGACGAATAATTTCCTTTACTGTACTACCGAAATACTTATGAATCTTGTCATAATTAAATAATACCTCGATAACACTGAATAGTACTTTTATTAATTTTAATGATGAACCATTGTGTTTGATCCCTTTTAGAATATAAATCGTGTTGGTGACACTTTGAAATAAAAGACTCCCTTTTTGTGAGGAGTGTAGTTGAAATTCTTTTTAGGTCCAATTTAAAATGAACTCAACATTTTGACTGAGAATTTCTGAGTTGGAGGCTCCGGCCTGATTTGTCTAGGTTAATCGAGGAAAATGATACCGAAGTGTTGCCATTTTTGTTACTTATTGTTTTTCTTCCTGACGCAGGAAGTTGCTTATTCCTTTAATTGTGGAAAGCTTTAAGATGCCCATTTGTGTGTTTTATGCCTGACATAAGAAACTAGGAGCCCTGATGGAAAACAATCATACAAAATTAACATTTTCCCAAAAGTTTTAAAAATTTCATCGAAGGTATATTTTTTGGAGAGCCAACAAGAATTTGAAGCCCATTTTTCTCGGGCTCCGTTTGAAGCCCCGTAAATTTGAGAATGATTGATTTTCAGGGTAACTCGATTGCTGCCGAAAACATATTCGCGCGGAGAATCGGAATTTGACGTGGTTTGAGGCCGTTATTTCCACGCTAACTAAGTACACAAAAAAATCGTTTCAGAACCTGGGGGGAAAAAGAGTCTGCATCGATATAGGCAAGTGCTGGTTCAGATATTGGGAGACGAATTAGTTAAGTTACGCTTGTGATCCGGCTGTTCCCGAAACCGATGCGCAGCTGATCACGAAAGTTCCTCAATTTCTCATCTGCCAACTTTCCCTTTGAGCCTCGTTGAGACGGAAGGCTGAAACGAATCGAGCAATTGTCCACTTGCTCATGAACGAAAAATTAACGTCGAAGTGTCCTGCTATATATATACAGTATATATATATATATATATATATTTTTTTTTTTTTTTTATGGAAGGAAATCCAGCGTGTCAATTTTAAGTCTCTCTGTGGATTGCGTGCCCAATTTTCTTGGATGTTGTTTGATTTTCCTGGATTCGCAGGAGCTTACTTGGACGGCTTGGTTGTGTTGAATGTGCTATCTCGTGGCTTTGACTGCTGATTCGAGTTTCCAATATTTAATTTTCTTTGGCATTAATTCCTATTTTCAAGGTTTACATACTGCGCAATGAAAATTTACGGCTGGAACATCTCATCTGGCGTTTTATTCTGAATAATTTAACAGGTAATTTCGTACTTTACGTGCCCTTGATATGACGGGAAATTTTTCAGTAATGCATGTTCCTAGCTTTTTTTTTTTTAATAATCATATATTTTGTTATGAGAACGGAAAAATCTTTCCTGCGGATTCCGGTACCATGATGATGAAATACGTATGTCCAGGCGATTTTTCGAAATTTTCGTTATTTCTTTGTCTTCAATTTTATCTCAAATTGAATCCTACCATACTTGAAGGAATTAAAAACTATTTATAATCACGTTAAGCTAATGATGCCATCTGTCCTCCTCGAGAAGAAAACATTCATGGATACTTTTCATAAATGGCAGAAAATGCAGCTCTATCATTCTTAACTTCTTTTTTTTTTGGCTCCAAAGCCAAATATTAGTCAGCATCAACGAAAAACATTTTTTTGAATTGTTCATCTTAGACTAACAAGATGACTCCTGGTGTGTCATCGGAGAATTTATTACGGTCGAACTGCTCACGCGATTCTCGTCCATCGAAACCAGAAACGGAATTCATACGTAATTATGCGACTGAATCTTATCTCGCCTTTTTCCACAGGTGTCGATTCCCGCAGCATCCTCTTCGATCCGTGTGAACGGTGACGACAGTGTCGAGAATGGTCGCTTCGGAGCGGAAGCCAATTCACAACGACTTTCCCCGGCGTTGATTGAGTCCGGGACTGTCCGGATCCGACTCGGCTCTGCGTCATCTGTCCACGACATCCGAGCAGCTCTCGATTTTCAACGTCAAGCATCTTTACAGCTGGAAAACGTAGCGTATTCGACACCGAAAACACAAGCGAGTAGAACGCAGGTCTACAGCGGGAAATCCCGAGCTTTAATCGAAGTCAACAGTGGAGCGGCTTCGTTGGGCAGCGTCAAGTTGAAGAATAGCAGTGCAAAGTACAAGTCGTGCCGGAATTTGGCAACGACTTCCACAGTAACCTTGTTGGAACCGCGAACCGAGTCGGGGTCTTGTCCAGAATCGACTTGGTCAGAGGTAATTTTGACGACTTTTCTTTTCCAATCTCGAGATAATCTCTAGAAATAACCTGGAAATGTGTATTTCCCAATGCCTGGCGTAAAAAAAAAAAAAAAAAAACGGCGTCACAATTGCATTACGATCAATATCGCGTGGAAGGATGATTTTTCATTCGCAGTAGGATTTTATAAAAAGAGGATAATTTTTATTGTTGGACGCCTCAATCGATATTGACTTACAAAAAAATACGTTTGCATCGTAAAATAACAATCAGGTCGCATTTCCGCATTTCAAATTATACTTTGTGCATAAGGAGTTCCAAAATTTGAACCGATTTAAAGTGTATTCATGTAAAATTTAATAAGACGAGCATCTTTACACCACCGATGACATACCGTACTTGAAACGTAATTCAATCTAAATACAGACGAGACCGACTTTTCAACGTTAACATATGAGAGTGAAGCATTTTTGAAAACAAAAACAAATGTATGTATCTATATACTGTATATATTTAGCAGCTTCATCAACATTTTTCAGTATGCTTTCGCAAATTCGAACAGTTTTTATCAATTGACAATGCAATTTTTATCTCTCAGATTTGATACGTGTGAAAGAACTTTCCGACAAGAAGCCGTTTTTGTTAGTCTACATTTTGTATTCTGGATTTTAAAAAATACAGTATGCTGTAATATGACGTGGTTGAAAAAGTTAATTTTGGATCTCCCTGCTGTTCGACAGCGTGTGTGCAGCATATTGTGAAGCAATGACGATAAAGTATGTTTCCAAAATATTAAACTTGTTTACTTCGAGATGCTGGAAAAATGAGTCCCATCTCAGAAGATACGTGTGGTTTAGAAATGAAGCGAGCACTTGATGTCTTCATGCCTTTTTTTTTTAGGAGTCGTTCAAAGAGTACCTGTCGGAGTTGCAAAAAGAGTACGAAACTCTAAAAACCGCCATAAAGTCAGCCATGACCACAGAAGAAAGTATCGCTGGTGGTTCTGTGAAATCCACCGGAACGTCAGTAACTGCGACAGTTGAGCTGAAGTTGGGACGAAGTGTGTCAAAAATGGACGAGATGCTGAGACGAATTGCGAACCTGAACTCGATTCTAGGGAATTCTCGAGTCGCCGAAGTCACCATTCGCGAAAAAATCAAGACGATGGGTGATCGAGAGCTTCATTTAACCAAGGTTCGATATGGGTGGACATTTTCTTAAGAATAAGAATGAATCGTGCGAAAAAATTCGTTTATGCCATATTCTCGCTATTTTAAGCTACTGCCCCTTTCTCCTCAAAAATGCTGTGTCGCACAATCGAGATAATCTGAGTGTAATTCCAATACGAACTCTGTCTTCGGCTCAGTGAACTCCATTTATTTGAGCATAGACCATTCTTCAGTCATAAACAACGTTATACCTGAGCTGAAAATTTCTAAATTACTATATAAGCTATTGTGGTCTGTACTGTGGGTGCTAGGAAATCTTCAAAAATTATTGAAGCTTCAGATGTACCTCACGAAGTTGAACCTCTTCAAGTCGAAAGTCTTCAAATTTATTTTAGTCCCTGGCATGCATGCTTGAATTCTCTTCAAACCTCTACAACTCTAATTTTGAGAGGCCTTCGGGCTAATGTACGTGGGACCTAAGAAGGAGTAGACTAGTACAGCAATAAAAATGCAATTAGAAGTTTTTCAAAAAGAAGTAAGCGGCTGTACAGTAATTAGACACATAGCTTTCCTCAAGTTCAGCATCCTGTCAACTCATTTATCCAGCATTTTAAGGCTCAGATATATGAATAATTTTAACTTTCTATCATCTCCATTTATTTTGTGGCTTTTTGGGTCCCTCTGACTTCGACTGGAGGAGCTTTGACTGTATTTTGCAAAACTCAAAAGATTTTTCGCTGCATGTAGACGTTATTCCTCGCATATAATTTTTTATATGTACCTGTATCACCCTGTCGGTAGAATTTTAAAATCTCAAATTGTTGTATTGCCGGAAATTAGACTGGGCCATACTTGTGTAAATCTGTATAATCTATTTGGTGTTTCCTGCAGAAGGTTTCAAGCTAAGGGAGAGATTCTTTTTTTTTTTTTTTTGAAGCTCACTTTTTGAAATGTAAAGCGAGATGTGGTCTAAATGTGCGACGCTTGACCGAGGTCTAGGAAATGCGTCACGATAAAAACCATTTTGTGTGACGTTGTTCATCAGAGAAAATGCGTTGGTTGTGCAACTCTTGCGGTAATGATCGAATTTTTTGCGGCTTCCTTGCGCAATTCGAAGCCCATCAGTGTAGTGTGAACAGGACGCGAGTTCTGCTCCCGAAATTTAACCCCACTGAACTCTCTCCGCAGTCTTGAGGTCATTTCGTGATATACTGTGTAGCTTTCCTTGGCAGTCTCAAAGTTTAAAACTTATGCTTAAGTAGCAAACGAAGTTTCTGAATTAATTTTAAATTATTTTAGGTCTGTATTTACTTTGAAGTTGGTAAACTTAAAATCGAAATATTATTCGCGGTGCGTTTGGAATTAATTTTTTTAACGCTTCAAAGCGTTCCTACCTGAAAACCACTTTCACGTTTTTTTCTTCTTTTCTTTTGAATATAACCTTCGAGCGAAAATTCTATCAACCACTGAAAAAATGTGGAATTCGTTCCGGAAAAAATGCGTTTCCTACACGCTTTTAAAAATGTGTCGTTGACCTTTGAATGATATGCCAAATAAATTCGAAAAAAAAATTACTTGCGCTTTATCACAAATCCACGCAGTGCAGTGGAGAAACCTAACAAAACAAAAATAAATCACAATGCGCTTTCCGTTTGTCGTGATTTTTGTCTGTCATTTTTCCCGCTGATTTCAGCAATTATTTCCCTTTTGCATATCTGGAGTACGCCGCAACTTGTATGCTTTAACTTTCTCAGGTCTATACTGTATGTTCATATTGTGGAACATGAACCACACCGGAAATTTTAAGCACATTTTTAGAGGTGCGAGGAAAGCTGCTCCTGATATTTACGCACAATACTGTAAAATTATTTTTTCATCAAATGAATTTTTGTCCTGCCGATATAAATTCCTAAAATGAATGTACGTTTTTCTCAGGTCATAGAGGAACAAAGCGGGCTTGTCGAAGTTGCCAAACGGAAAGTTGCCAAAATGGTGAAAGATATCGCCGAGGAACGTCGTCGACGCAAAGACGGCGAGAAGAAATTCGTCGAAGAAAAGCAAGATTTGCGGGAACAAAACGAGCTGCTGGAATTCAGACTTCTAGAATTGGATGCTTGGAAACAACAGGTTCATATCTCAAAAGATTATCTTCTTCGTGGTGTCCCATCGAATTCCTTGAAAGCTTTGACTGTGAAAAATGAGCCGCGAATAATGTATGCGCGTTAATGTCCGGGAAATCATTAGACTTGCCCAAAATGTCTTGTTCTATGCCAAAGGCCTTTTCCTGTTCATCGTTTAAATGAGACTAAATCAAGGTTTCGTCGGACTGCGTGGGAAAGAAGTCAACCTTGGGTTGCTGGAAATTATTGGGGTGTGCTTTTAGCTTATGACTCGGTCTTGAAGCGTCAGTATTTGTAACAAGTTCATGCATTCCTCGTGAAGGTTTGAACGCTGCTCACGTAAATTAACTACCTTATTCATTACTTTCTTGGGTCCAGGTAATGTGTTCCCATGAGTGGCATCGCTAATAGAGGGAATTCATTTACTACGTTTATAGAACCTCAAGAACGTAAATATGTCATGCGTTACCAACTTATGAAAACGAAATTTGTCTCGAAAAAAATTAGAAGGTAATTTTTGTCAAATGTCAGTCTAGAAAACAATGAAAAATCCCGGCATTATATCTCTACTATTATTAGGAACCTACAGACAGGCGAAACCGCGTGGCCCGTCGAGGGCAAATTTCATTTTAGACACAGCGAAAATAATTTCTCTGCGGATGCCAATATTTTCCTCTCGCTTGTATATTTTTCAGAAAATAGTCTGGCATATGTTTCTGTCCTTATTTACTATAATTTCCCATCAGCCACGAGCCCAGCGAGTCGAACAAATAAATCCTTTTCAATTAAATGGTTCAAATACTATCATGCTTATTGTATATTTATACGAGAACGATGTTCCTCTGGCAGTTTGTCGCCTACTCGGCAATTTCTACATTTCCATTTTCAGTAGGCTTTTTCTAAGAAGTATTTTCAATTTTTTTTTTTTTCACGCGCCGTGAACATTAAAAAGTGCCAAATATTTTTCACGACTCGAGAGCATGAGAATGTGCTTACATGTTAAATCAACTTCCCAAATAAGGCGATTGAACGGCAGTAAGCTTGAGAAAAGTCGAATGAAATGTCCACGAACAGAACTAATGTTCAAGAGACCTATAGCGACACCTATGTAAGTCGAATTAAAACTCAGGAAAAAGCTTCCTTGAGAACTAACTGGATGTCAATAAACGAGGAACCGTCCTCTGTTCCGTAGCACCAAGGCTTCTTGGATGATGCCAAGTCCGAAATTGTGGGCAAGCTCGACATGCTCGCTCAGCAAACTCCTGCAGATTTCTGCAATGCAGTTTACGGCCCGTGTTGGTTCCGCGACGATGATAGCGACTTGGACGAAGCCCCAGACGACAACGTCGTACCGAACGATTTCGCTTCCGGGCTAATCCATGAACTTTCGGAAACTTCGGAAGAAACCGACTTCGGGGCCTTGTGGCGTGTGTCCATGACTGTGAGTAATGCTTACTTGCTCTTTTGTTCCTTTCTGTCACTCCAGTCCTGAGTCCTGAGTAAACCATGCTTGGTCGTTCTGCGCCCTCTGCGGTCATGGCTTCCCAAAGATTCGCACGAAATATTGTACGCGGATGCTAGACATGTGATTTGTGACGCTATTCATGGTCAACTTCGGATTCGAGGGAAATTTTGTTATTTTGTTGTTGTTCAGGGTTAATTTGAAAACAAATTCTCCGACGGAAAAAAGCTCTCCTGACAAGGAACTTATCCATTATTGGAAACCCCCCCCCCCTCCTTCCCATCCCACCTTTCAATTATATTTCCTTGGATATTTTGGATCACCCAAATTTCGTCCTGTTATACGTTTAATTACCCAAAATATAACTGAATCAGTATAAAAAAGACCAGATATAATACCTGCTTCTGTGTCAGATTATTGAAGAAGAATCTGAAATTTTCCGCATTTCTCACGGAATCTCGCGAAACTTTCCATCCCCGGACAAAAATAACTAAAATTTTATTGTGAGTTGACAAGTTTAATTTGGCATCTTTGAAAATAAACTTAACTTCCCAGTTCTGAACGATCTTCTATTATAATAGCCGTTTAGATTTCTCAACCTTTTGCTAGGTTAACCAACTTACAGCACATCCTTGGAGCAATAAATCCTTCAATTGTGTACTCAATGGTTGCCTTAAGTTATTTTCAGTGTTCCTGTGATACAATAAGCGGTACTAAAAATAGTATTTGACTGCCTCGGCAATACCGATCTTACAACATAAACCTCCTCTACGTTACTTTTTCGGCGATTAACGATCAGTTTCTCGAGTTCAGTACAGTACATATATTCTGAAAGGCTTTATTGTTAGTTCGGGAGAAGTTCCAACGAGATGGTCCTTGTTTATTTGGGCTCGCTATGGGCAAACACTGGCCGGAAACCCCTTCTTCCGGGCGTGGGAGTTGGACGTGTTCCGTTCCTGATTACCTCATGTGAACCCCAGGAAAGAAAAAATGAGATACAAGAAATGAGACGAGTGTTTTTTTTTTTTGCGAAGCTGGAAAAGAAAATCCGGGGGAAAAAAAAAGTTGGGACGCACACGCGTTTTCGAGTCCTCGAGATTTAAGGTCACGCGTCGGCGACTGAATATACTATATTGTATTTTGAATATAAATTCATATATATTTTAAAAATTCATTCTGGTTCAAAGCGGATAAAGAGCTCTTGCCTTGGGACGCGGCGAAAAACTCCTCGTCATTCTTCGCATCCGGAACTTCAGTACTGAGTGATGATTCCATTCGTGCGGGAACAGCGTTGCCAATATCCTGAGTGGGCGTTTCCGGATTCTTTCCCCCCTTTTATTATTATTTTTAAAATTAATTTATTCATTTTTAAACATTGTCGAACCTGTGGAGGAAGTTAACCTTTTTGTCGGCTCAATCTTTTCTCGACCCTCTTCGTAATCACGACTCAAACCAGGTTCTTTTCGCGGCGAAGCGTGATTATGTTTTTGCTCGAAGGTTGGGCAACGTCTATCAGTTGGATGCTTCCTTGGCACGCACAGAGTTTTACCAGAAAAACGTTGTTCCCCTTTCGAAACCGGTAATTATCTTGTACTTGGCGGATCGTTTCCTGGTCGTGTAATAGCGTATCACAGACTTCATCGTACTTAATGGAAGTCGCAACGAACTGTTCAATTTCGTTGTCAAGAGCTTGAAGAAATCTATTATGAAACCCTGAACATCCTAAGATTCCGTAAATCAGTTGCATTTATGAGACTTTTTACTTAACGCTATCTCAACAATATTTTTGGATGCCTTTTTTCCATACAAAAAAGCGAAATTAATATTTTTCCTGACTATTTGCCCAGAATTTACTGTTCGACGGTAAATTGTAACATTTAGTGTGGGACTAAATTCGAGGTAATTGAAGGCATGCAGGAGTTTTTGAATATTCTGAGTTAACATGTCAAGGGCTTGAAGTGAAGTACTGTACTGTACTGTACTTGCAGCTAAAAAAAAGAAAACGTTCCTCATAATTTTTCCAATAATTTTCATCGAAACCGCTGAACCCTGATATCTACAAAGATACAACTTATGAACACACGAAATGGCCCCGGAAGCAGACATAAGTTTGAATGACAAACATGCATCATTAAATTTTCAATGTAATGCTGAATGTTATTTGCGACATTTACCGGAAGTAAAGCTGAATTTGAATGCGATGAATTAAGAAGGAGAATTTCGTTATAATGTATGGTTTTAAAAATCTGAATACTGTACTAAGCGAATTTATTTTGAACACCTTACGATTAATCTCTCTACGTTTTGTGGGAAACCAATAATTTTCGATTTAAGAAGTTTTGCAAGATTGTCCGTGGTTCACCAACGTGAACGAATTTCTTCGAAGAGTATGGAGCGTTTTTTTTTTTTTTTTTTTTTTTTTTTTTTTTTTTTTNTTTGGAGTTTTTTTTTTTTTTTTTTTTTTCACGACGAGGAAACAAAAACGTTGGTTTTATTCCAAGATCAGTTCTTGTGAGGATGATGACTAACATCGTGGCCATAAAATTTGCTGAGGGATTGTTGTCATTGGAGAATTAAAGTAATTGGAATGATAACGAGCCCTTTTTAAAAAGAAAAATTGCAACCGGTGAGCGAAACACACGAGGAGGTTAACGATTTCTGCAGTAGCCACATTTCATATGTTGAAATAACTTCATGGATATCATGATTTTTAAAATCGAAGCATGCATGAGGGAAAGGGATAATTTTTGCTCGAAAAATCAAAATGTCATTTGCTGACTCGACATATTGTTTTGCGTAACATGCTACGTACCGTATACAGTATATTTTTTTCTGTCAGGCTTCCGAAGAAGGTCGTTGTTTCCAGGGCAGCGATACTTGTTCGCCTCCTCGAGTCGTTGGCAACTCCCTGAAAACGTCTCGTTGAAAAGCGAAAAATACGGGATGTGAATAAAGTCAATGCCGACATTCTTGTTGAAGTGAGAAAGAGAATTGACTTTTGCTTCGACTGCGACACACTATCATGCGATTGTTCTCTGCGAAGATGCTTTCCACTATATACTGTATGTCTCCGCACGCATGTTTTTTATCCACCCCCCCTCCCCCTTGCCATGAAGCGTACCTAAAAAGTTTTCTGCATCTCAGACGTTTGAGGGATTGTCCCTAAGTTTCGAGACTGAAAGCACTTTCTGACATCAGAAATTTTTGCTAATTTTCGCAAGTTTTTTTTAGCCATTCAGTATTCCCCAACCTTTCTGGGTTTAATTTTTATGGCATTAGTTGCGGACTGGCAAAGTTTCCAAATTTTTTCTGCAGAGCGGCGAAGTTTCATTACATTTCTGGAGGCTCAAAAAAGTTTTGCTTGAAAGGCTGGTACTGTACTTGAAAAATGCCTGCCTTTTTCCAAAAATTAGGTTGAGAACCAATGAACCATCTGTAGTGGAATATTTTCAAAAATTTTGAAAGGTGGGCTTGAAAAAAGGTTTCTCAGAATGAAAAATTAATATTTATTCCAGCAGGTGAAAATTTGTCTGAAACGTTAGTAGGATAAAAGTCGACTTTTATTTTCTCATGGGATAATTTCAACTACCATTGTCTTCCAAAAATTTCAGATAAAGATAAAACACTTCATTGCTACTATTGATAAATTTATTACGCTGAAAAAAATTTCCTGCTGACCAGCAAAAACTTCTGCAGACTGGCACTGGATCCGTGAACCAGGGCATTTAGAACTCTGCATTAATCCGCGTTTGACGCTGTAATGGACATTTTTCTGCCCCACAGCTCAAAGAAAGGCTTGATGTGAGTCGTCCTATGTCCTTCACTGTATATATTACGCAAGAACAGGCGTTCGAAAATGCATTAAATTTATCGCATGACAAAATTCAATTTAATCGACATAAGTCATATCGAATAGAACTGACGTGACCATGAATGAGAGGGTACTGTTTTTTCAGAATCGAAAAAGCCTCGTTTATTCATTTCTGCTTGGTATCAAAACTTTTGGTCCAACTCTATAGATTATTCAGGCAATTCTTCACCAACGAAAGAAGGAAAGCAAATGAAAAATTAGAATCTGCTTTTTCCGACGTCTGTTGTGCATGTGATTTATCCGTCGGTCTTCGTTATGTGCTCATTGGCGCCGTCTCGAAAGAACAGCATTCGACATTTATTTTTCCAACGTCGGGTATAGTGATGAGACTCCGCGGGTTGTGGAGAATATTTATAGCTGGGGTCGCAACGAAGGCTGGTAGAGGGGGCTTTATGAAACAAAATGGAATTTCTTTTTTGTGCGTCCCACCTGTTGCAGGTGTTTTTTTTTTTAAATATTTTTATCCATTTTTTTACCTTCGGGAAAGAGTGAGATACGTGAGCCGGACGCGACCTGAGGCGGATTCCTGGCCAGCCATCGACTATGCTGATGGCGCGAGTTACGTTCTATTGAGAAAGACGCGTTTCGCGTTGCGGAACGCGTTTTCTTGTCACTTCTAAGAAGCAGGGGATATTTGGAAATACCTGTTTCTTTCTTCTGTGGGAAAACAATTCTCGTGTTTTGACCTCTGGCAAAGAAGAAAAAAACAAACACGATTCCATACATGCTCATCATTCGTGGTCGACTCTGTTTCCTGCGAGATTTTGCCAGATCTTTCGAGCCTATCTGGAATGGATGACGATCGTTCTAGACTTCTAGAGCTTTTGAGAGCACGGCGAATAAAGAGGAGTTTTTTTTTTACGACTAATGATTTACTTCGTGAATGTATTGCATGACATTTGTTAGGGACTAATTAAAAAAAAAATGTAAAATTGAGAAATAATCAACCCAGAATCCGCCCGGGAACAGGGCAAGGGATTCACTGACCTCTGCGTTATGGGCCCACTTCTCCTATTTCGCCGAAGTTTGTGCAAGATCCGGGGTAACAATTATGTAATACTTACTTGACTTCCGTCAACTTTTTTTCCTGTTTCCTGAAAGCTATTAGATTGAGTCGAAATGATTTCAACGCCACATGGAAGTAAAAATTGCAGTCCTGACATGTATAGCTTCTTGATCATCGATTGACATATATTCGGGCAATCTTCGCATTTAGGAACACTGTATTTTTGATGCCACGATTGCAGCTCTTACATTTTTGAATCTTGCTATTCAGAATCTGAGATTTTGTCATTGAAGTACAGTATGAATTATGCATGAATTAAAGTACAGTATGAATTAGTACTTCGTAAATTCATGGTAGCTAAGTCTGGCTGGTCAATTGTATTAAACGATAGAGACCGAGTTAAACTCTGCGTCCTTTATTTGATTTTTTCCTTGAGGTGTAAATGAAGAACGTGGGTCTGGAAATTATGTAATACCGTATCACTCTTCGAGAATTACCTCTATTTGCATTCATCCATCAAGACTTCCGACAAGGGAAGTGCAGCTGACAAGAAGTTATGAAATTATCATCCAATTTTAATGCTGTACGTGTCTACGCACGACAGTCTCTCTCATTTTGTTGAATGTCGCTGTCACATTCAAAGTGACAAATCGTTGTCCCAAGGCACAGAAGAAAGTATAAAATTTGATTGATGAATAAGAATCTTGATATTTTAATCTCCTCAAAAAATGTTGACGATTACATAAGAAAAGGTGGCGAACGTGTATATCATGGAATTGCCAATTTAACTGTACCTTTTCGTATGATTGGAGTTGAAATTATTTCAGCACTAGCACATAAATATTGCGTGAACGTGACATTGAACATAATTCTTCACTTTCGAAATTTTAAGTTTTTTTTTACCATTTTTTTCTTTCGACTCCCTTGAGGAAAATTGAATCTCTCCCAAGCATCAAATTTGATTCACTCCCGACTTATTCCGCAAAGGGACTTTCTCGGAAGATCGAGGGACTGCGAGTATGTTCGTTGTTATCGAGGGGAATTTTTAAAGAAGATTCTTATTCAGAAACACGTTTCGGTGAAAGTTTTGAGGAGTGTGCCTGGTTGATTCGAAAGATACTCTAAAGTAAAACTGAAGCATGGCATTTAAGTTTAATTATGTGTATTCGATATACACGCAGGAATAGGTTAGAATGAATTAGTTGCCTCTCTTCAGTTTTTTTTTTATTTCACTGGCAAAATTGTGGTGGTTATAATTTTTACGGAGAATAATTCAGTCAAAATGATGGACCACATTTGCTGCAATTCCTCGCGAGAATTTTTGATGCACCCATCCGTCATATTTTGCGGATTGTTCGCAAACTTTTTCTCCCCAAACTCGCGGTCGTTTTTTTTTTCTCCCAGCTGTAAAAGGGAGGAATTCACCGGCATACTGTTACCCTAGTCGTCGGGGAAAACAAAGCACGCATTTCTCGTGTGAAATCACGAATCAGTATCCTTCAGGCATTTCAATTTACAAGTGCAGACGTGCGGGAAATTTTTCTCTCTCCCCGTTGTTCAGCGCAGTGAGCATTTTTATATACCTGTGCTGTGGTGCATCATCAGCGGCTGAAATCGCAGCTGCGGAATGTGCGTTGAGTTACCCGATCCGTTAGGCCTGTGATAATCGCGCTGAAGGGTCGATTGCATACCCAAGCAGCAACATCTTTCTCTTATCTCCTCCTTTTTTATTTATTTTTTTTTCGTTTACTCTGTTCTTGCTGAGAGGCTTCTTCAGTTGTCCATCATACCTTTATCTCGACGGATTATCCGTCTCACCGCCGCTGAACCGAAACTATGTCGGACCAGAAATATTTTGAGCCTTGACATTTTTATTTTCCCTGAAAATAAATTGGATGTGATAGACTCGTTTTTTTTTCTGTGTTGTTTCTTTCGAGGTCAGGGAACTGCGGTATTTATTTGACGGGATAATTGAGTTTCTTGTGAACGTTGCTCAACCTGAGGCGGGTCAGTCAGTCGATCGCCCTCCGAAATTAACTGCAGACTCCGTTCATGCATTAACGGGTTTTTTCGACAAGTTTCCGTATTTAGTTACAATGGGTTTCGTCACGCCGTCTTGCGATATAGTCCTTGGGCAAAGGGCGTTTTAACGAGGTTTGGGAAAGACTTTACTAAAAGTTGGAGCCCGTAAATGAGGGAAACATTCTACTGGTAGCTAGCTGTCTTCAAGCTTTTTTGTATGAATGTGTGGTAGAGTATTAATTTCAAAAGTTAGTTATAAGAGTTCGTCTCTTGAATCAGGAATAAGACTTACGCCCTTTACTAAGCCAAGACTGAGTTCATTCGTTGAAGATTTTTATTCAATTGCAGCTCTGATTATTTGGGTGAATTAATCAAAGATGTACAGCTCATTAAAGCAACACTCACAATGGTACAAAAATCTGACGATTCACTGGTACAAAAATTGGCAGAAAGAGACCACTTTTAATTATTGTCTGATCTTTTGAATGGTCTCGAAAAATATTTTTTTCTAATTATTCGGATTCTATTGCATTGAAAATTGCAATCAGAACCTGTTATCAGAAATTAGCAGAAATGTTAATGTGTGTGTGTGAAAATCAGGTTTATCGACATATGTTTACAGTATAGCAAAAATTCTGCAGTTGAGTCGAGAGAATATTCGAACTTGTGTTTTAACCATCTAACCTTCTTTCGTATAGAAATGAAAAACATCCACTGACATTTGTTCCACAGAATCTGTCTGTGTCTTGGCACGTTTTTGGAAGAATCCATCGAGAAGCGCCTAATTATTGCGAGCTTTCACCCAATTCCGGTTCGCTAGTTATTGACACGGCATGGCAATCTGTTTCTGCTTTTCTTTTTCTTTCTTTCACGCGGTAGCAAGATGTCATAGAATCGAGTCTTGATTTACTCCTACAAACTTCATAATGAGGAGCAGAAGAGAAAGCTGCTTCATTTGAATGTTTGAGAGAGTGTATACATATGCATTAGTTCCTCATTATTCTGCCGACTGGTTTTTTGGATCATC